ATGGCAAAGGCTTTCCTAATGGATATCTAGACCTGCCATGGAGTGCGCTGCCCAGCGCTTTGCATAGACCCCAAGGAAAATGGAGATCAACAGTGACGTCTTGACACCACCAAGCTTTGGAGAGGGGAAAAACACCTCTTTACCAAACAAAATCGTCCTAATGTGGAATTGGAGAAGAGCTATGGAGCGCTGCCCTGGCTGGTTTCACATCCTCTTGGGGCGCAATTTTGATATTTGCAGCTGTTTGCCATAGCAGGTGTGGCCTGAAGTCTGAGCCTCTGGCTACGTGGGGAATCTCTTTCTTCTGGTGGGAGGTGAGAAGAGGAAACCTGATTGCTTCTACAGCACAAATATGAACCTGGAAGTTCACATGCACCCCGGCAGCCTGTACCAAAAGACCATGGGACCCGGTGGGTAAATAATACCCATTCTGCCTCCCAGATGTATGATGCTGATGGCAATTAACAGTTCCTCAGACAGTCCCCAAACAGACTGAGTGCTAGTCACCCCCAGTGGTAGCCCCTCAATAACCCACTCTGGAATTAGGCTTTTCTCCCTTGCCTTTGTCACTATCCCCTTGGACACTTTCCCGAAATAAATTGTCTGTGCCAAAGTCCTTATCTTGCCTTCCAGTTGACTAAAAGGAGTTGGCTAAGATGAGACATGAGATAAGTGCTACACTCTCAGACAGGTGGGGAGGGGGTATAATCAGCACAAATCAGCCTTGTTGCTCTCCATACCCAACCTGGGTACAAGGCTTCTCACCTAAGTGGATGTTTTAAAGCCTCCAGGTAAATGGGTAAACAAAAATGAAATGAGAACAAACTCTAGAAGGTGAGCTATAAGTGCGTCATTGTATGGCACAGACTTTAAATAAAGTAGGCTTCAGAGGAACAAGAGGAAGCAGAAAGGGAAGGCTGCCAAAGATGTTACGAGAGGAAGGTATTCCTCAAAAAGGAAATGAGTTTTACACCGTGAAGAGTCAAAGACTTGCTCCCTGGAGTCTAGAAACTGGGGTGAGGGACAAGTTACATTCAGATGAAGGAGGGGCTCAACACAAGAAGGTGAGCCTGGATTTGAAAGATGGCTTTGTGAGTAGAAAATGTGAATCTAGATAAGTTCTCCACTGAATTACCCCTCAGTAAACCCCCAAGACCAGTGGGCTGGAGGGGAGTTGACAACACAGACCTGGATCCCCATATCAGGCTCCTCCCAAAACACAGCACATCCTTGCAGCCTCAGCTACTCCTTCATGGCCAGCTACTCCAACTTGGAGTGTGAGTGAAGGATCCAGGCTGGACCTGTTCCAGATGGCACTTCATACTGAGTCTGGGAAAAGGGGGGAGTGCCCACAGACCAAAGCCCAGTTTACCCACCCTGGTCCTCTCCTCAGAGAGTCACACACATGTCCCCACCCCAGACCTTGCCTTTTCACAGTGATGGAGTACTTTTTTATTTGGTCCTAGAATAAGTGTTTGTGTCTTGCGGGTCTCCTATAGCCAACATTAAAGTCTTGTTTCTCTGTCCCTGAAAATAAAGGGAAAAAAATCAACCCAAGATTTCTATATGGCCCTGACAACTAAACTCTTGGGATTAGAGCCCATGTTGACTCCCTATTCTTTCTTTCCTTGGGATAGTCATTACTAATTTGTTAGCACACTTTATATATTAACTTATTTAACCTGCAAAACAATCCCCTGAGGTAGGATCTATTATTGTCCCCCTTTCGAGGGTGGAGAAACTGGGCATAGAGAATTTACACAGTAAATTTACACAGGGTAACTGTGGCAGCCCAGCCAGCCTCCTTCAGTTAGTGATGTTAGCACATTATCTATGATCACCTCATATGGTTCCTTTCTAACATATGATATCCTTGCTAACTTCAGAGCCTGAAATTCATGCAATTTATGTATTTCCTAGACATCCTTTGAGAGTCTGGTATGTATACCAGTTGCTGGAAAGATCATGAAGGTCACAGGACAGACCTTGTAAGAGAAAACAAGTCAGAGAGGTAGAAGCTTACAGGTTAAGGTGGGGAGGTAAATCTAGGAAGACACCAAGCCAGAAGGTGAACAAATCAATTTCCACTTGTCCTGGAATTCATGAGCACCTGCTGGGTGCTGAGCCCTAGCAGATTGGAAGAAAGAAAGGAGAGAGAGAAGTCCTCCCTGGTGGCACAATGGGTTAAAGTGCAGCACTATGAAGCTAGCCACAGCCACTGAAGCACGAGTTCGAATCCCAACCAGGAAGGTGACCCCCACATGATTTGGCAGACCTCTCCTGTCCCATCCACTGCTCCCCTCAGCAGTGTATTTTCATCAATATGCCTGTTCTGTTCCCCACTCTGTCTCTGGTGAATCTTCTCACCCTCCGCACCTCTGGCCTGTACCCCAGTTCTTGTATGCATGAATAAATAAATCTTTTAAAAAAGAAAGAAAGGAGAGGAACACTAAAATGAGTCTCATGCTATTCCATACTATACTGACACACACCAAGGTGAAGAACAGCTGAAGTGTCACACTGTCTTTAACATGGTACATAATAAAATTGCCATGCCAGTCTTCTTTAATACTACTTTAAATCACAGTATTTTCAACAGCTTTTCATAAGACTATAAAATCAAGGTCCTGTCCCCCACTCTCCACTTGGTTTTGACCTCACTGCTTATTAAATCATCTTCTGAATAAATATGAGCAAATAAAAAAGTTGCCCTTCATTTGTTTGCACCTGTTATTACCTTGCTTCAAATGTTTCTGCTTTGTTTCTCTTTATCTAGGGCTTCTTTCAAAATCAGCCAAGCAAGTATGATTCCCCCTCCCCCCCATTCAAGTGGTTTTAGTCTTTTCTCCACCAGTCTTAGGGCACTTGCAGATTAACGTCTTTGGTGTTTATCAGTGAGGGATTTTACTCTATATACAGTCATTGCAATCATGTATTTATGAGCTGGTGCATGGTAGGTGCTCAAGACTCCTTACCAGGTCCATGGTGAAGTATTAAATAAGTACCACAGGAAAAGATCCGACTTTATCTGTGTTGTGTGTGTGTGCTTTAACATACTTATTATAAAGCGTTCTTTTTCTTCCTCCCCTGAAACACAGATAATGAAATATACTGATTCATTGGCCTTGTGAATAAGCCCAATCTTCCCAAAGGAACGACTGTGACATGAATGAAATCATCATTGGAAAAGCTGCATCTAGAATAGTACGTGACGTACAGTAAGTCACCAATAACTATTTGGAGAAGTGAATTCAAATCTTTTCCACACCAACCATTCACTACATATTGTACTACAGATTTGAAAAAACAGCTTAGACGAAGAATTTGAAGAGCAACCCAAAGCACACATAGAAAAGTAGTTTTACCCACTTTACAAGCTGCACTGTTTCAAAACACTCAAGCCACTTTTCTTTCCTAGAGTTCTCAGCCTGTTTAGTTCGGATCATCATCCCTCTCCACCCTTACAATCTACTAGTGGAAACTGCCCCAACACTGGCTTAAGTTTTTTGGGTGAAACTGCCTCAACAAGTCTAAAGTGTTAGGGGGAACCTGCCCCAACAAAGTCTAAAATTGACATCTTCAAATATTTTATGAATAACAGAATTTAATGACCCTGCTCTAGTCACTTCAAGTCATGTGATCTCACAATATGTGAAGTATTCAATACAAACATTTCTTTCCATTCTGCATAGTCCTTTTTTACAGAAAAAAAGTAATTGACATTTTTGTCCCCCAAGAATCTGGAATTATGCTAAAAGAAAAACCAAATGTCACAGAAACAATACCAAAAGTTCAAAGGTATACCAAACATCTGAACCCAAACTAAATCTACCGACACGGTAAGTAAGAATACTTTAGACAATTTGCCACTTGTTTGGATTTTTTTCCCCTCCAATATTCTATATAATATGAATAAAAAGTGCTAGACTATTGTGAAACCGCCTTGGTCCTTCCAATCCATGCAGGTCCTCGTTGCATTAGGACCTGCAGAGTGACACTTGAGATCTAAAGTGGGTGGATAAAAATAGCCTGGTCGTCAAAAAGACATGATAAACGCCAGACAGCTGAGTCACTTTGAAGCCCATTTGGCTCTTGTAAGGGGTATTCAGCCCCTTTTTCCTTGTCATATACTCATCCAACTGTCACCGACCTCCCTGGGTGGTGGCAATGATCCGTCTTAACTTCCCCTTCTAGTCTGTGAGGTCGCGACCAGCGATTGAACTTTTAATAATTTATAATCGTGCCTTTTAGTCTACGTGACTCATTTAGAGTAGGATAGCGAAAGCTTAAGAAAATCACAAATAATCCAGTAGACCCCCTATGTTCGCTGCCCGAGTGGAGGCACACGAAGGTTTTTTCTGACATCCTGACGGGGAGAAAAGGAGTGGGCAGAAAGAGAAAGTGGGGAAAGATAAGCTCGGAGAATGCATCAGGAATGTCCAGGAGTGGAAAACACTGGACAAAGCAAACGGTCCCAGAAAGAAAGGGGCTCTGCAAGTTCGGGGGACCAGGGGAATCCTAAGCACCTAGCCGCCCTCGGCTCTCACCCCAGGGAGGATGCAAACGATCTGCAACGTGCAGTTAAGATCAGGGAACTCTTTGATTCCATCCACCTTTCAAACAGCGGCGGAGAAGTGGCAAGGTTACAGGGAATTGGGGCCCTGACAGCCGAGAAAAGCTGGCGGAGAACACCACTCTGGCGACCCAGGCTTGGGCTGCAGCAGCCTGAGGGAATGCAGCTCCAGGCATCCAGTAGGCGTTCGCTAAATGCACGCCGAGCTGCAGTGCCCCAGAGTCAACTTCGCCGCGGGAAAAGGGTGGGAAGGGAGGTCCCTAGCTGCCTCTGCGCATCTTCTCACCACCCCCGCCCCCACCCCCTTACGTCCCCCCCACCCACCCTAGCTTCACGTGCCGCGGAGTTCCTGGGCTTTCTGCAACCCCAGGCCGCCTGCACGGCGACCCTCCCCCGAGGACTGCGAGCGCCGCCGAGTCTCACTTACCGGGGAGTCGTAGGAGAAGGCGCACTCATTCTTGTAGACCCTGTCCCCGGACCTGGGCACGCGGATCGTGGGCATGTGGGGCACTAGGAGCTCGCCGATGTCTCCTGCAGCCATCTTCCTGCTGCCGCTGCCGCCCGGCATTCCGAACAGGGCGCCCCGGCGCTGCATGGTCGCGGCGCGCACCGGAGCCGAGCCGAGCCGGGCCGGAGCGCTGAGTCTGCCCGCGGCGGTGGCGGCAGGCTGAGCAGACGACGGGAGCGGAGCCGCGGCGGGCTGGGAGAACGGGCCGCGCGGCTGGAGCAGGCACCCGGGGCCTGGGGCGGGCGGGCGAGGGGGTGGGTAGTGGAGGGGACGCTGCTATTTTTAATCCAATGGCGAATCGCCGGCCCAGCTGCAGCGTCAGGCGGGGCACTGGGGTGCGCCAGCCGCAGCGCGCCGGGGAGGGGGCGCTGGAGAGGGGCCTTGCTCCAGGGCCGGGCTTGGCAGCTGCAGGCGAAGAGCGATCCCCGGGAGCGTCGCCTGGGGATTCGTCAGCCGGCTGGGGCCCGATGGGGGCGATCCTTGCTCACGCCTGCGGGGTGCAGTGGGACACCGCCACGGTGTTTTCCAAGTCCTTGGGGCGCGAAGGGGAAACTCCTAGGCAGCGAACACAAAGAGCTGGGTTGAGGTTTCCAGACCCGCTGGCTTTTGAAACAAGTGAACAGAAGAGCCGCGACTTCCTGGGATTGGGTGGGAATGAGATTTGATGTGCAAATCTGAGCCTCAAATCAGGCCCAGATATAAATTTGCGCTTGACACTTCCTAGTTAACCTCCCGAAGGCCTGTTCCTCACTTTTTTTTTTTTTAACACCTAAAGCTCAATGAAAGAGAATCGAATGGGACCCAGCAAGGACAGACGTGTATTTTTTTGCTACAATACAGATTTGTTTTGCATATGCTTGGGACTGAGAAAAGGTAGAGATTTTTTGTTTTTTCCCTGTCTTTGGAACATCTTTTGAGCGAGTCAAGGTCTAGAGGTAGAACATTCAGTTTGGGATCTTATATGCAGATATGTATGTTCCGATTCCTCAAAATAAATCATGAATGGAGTTGGGTTGGGGAGAGTAATTTGCGAACAAAGCACATCTCACAACGTACTCTCATAAGAAAAAAGAAACTCTTAAAATGAGAGTTGGATTCCACTGTGTTCACCTGACATACTGTTGGGGTAGAAACCCCAGGTTCCCTCTAGTTAGTGTAATGCATAAGTAGCAAGAAATAGCTTTACCCAGGACGAATGGCCCTTAAATTCTTTTTTTTTTTAAAGATTTATTTATTTGTGCATACAGAACTGGGGTACAGGCCAGAGGCTCCGGGGCGGTGAGAGGCTTCACTAGAGACAGAGTGGGGAACAGAACAGGCAGATCGACGAAGTGCACTGCTGAGGGGAGCAGCGGGCGGGTCAGGAGAGGTCTGCCGCGTCATGTGGTCACCTCCGGGGCAGGTGGGAATCGAACTCATGCGGAAGCAGCTTTAGATTCCCAGTGCTGTGCTTTAACCCGCTGCGCCACCAGGGAGGACCAGCCCTTAAATTCTTTAGTTACTTGTCATTTATTTTACTAAATTTGTAAGTAATGTAAATCCTTAGGTTATTTCTGTTGCTCTCTGATTCTGCAGATGTGTTGGTTCCTCTAAGGAAAAGGAACAGGTACCTGGAATTTGATGTGAGAGACAGTCAAACCCTCTCCTGCTCTGCTTTCTAAATTCCCATACCCCCAAGCAAGGCTTAAGGCCACTTGATGGGAATGGAGGCTGGAACTAAGCAAAAACATGGAAACACCTTTGCAGTCCCCATCAGTGGACACTCTCAAGAAGTTTTTGCTTTTTTATTCTCACCAGTTTACCATCTTCCAGTACTGTCTGTTGCTGTTTCAGCTGCATGGGTGAAACCTGCTTCTCCAATTACAGGGGGGAAAATTTTGACTCAAAGGAGTTCAAAATTAAAAATTTAGATATTTTTATATAAATGCAAGTTAAATCAAGACATCATTTTTCACCCTTCACTCTGATAAAAACGTAGTGAGTTGGTCTGTTTGGAAATAGGCCCTTACATTGTTGGGAATAAAAACAGCAAACCTCTTTGGAAGGAAATTTAACAATACCCATTAATTAATTTCACAGGAATACTCTGTTTTGCCCAGCAACCCTTCATCTAGATATTTGCACCACTAATAAATTTTTAGAGTGTAAGGATAGTTGTTTGAACCTTGTTTACACTAACCCAAAGCCAAGAATAACCTAGCTAAAGGAAGCCATTAAAATACTACATCATTATGACTGGATTAAAAGGATTTGGTACATATACACCGTGGAATATTACTTGGCAATCAAAAAAGACAAACACATGCCTTTTGCAGCAACATGGATGGAGCTGGAAGGGATCATGCCTAGTGAAATAAGCCAGAAAAAAAAAAGAAAAATACCAGATGGGTTCACTCATAGCAGGAGTATAAAGACCATGGGAGAAAATAATAATAATAATGTACAACTATATACCTGAGACATTTTACAGGGATAGAGTAGGGAATTGGATCAAAAATTGGGGGGCTGGGGGGGGAGGAAGTGCACTGGACTATGGTGATGGCACATGGGTGAATTAGTGGTGGGAAGTCCACAGGGATTACAACTGAGATGAGAAAAGGCACTAAATGATGTAAAAATAAACTATTATATTATTTTTTAAAATACTATATCATTAAAAAGAATGAAGCATTCTATATGTGCTGATGTGTAACAATCTCCTAATCATATTATTATATGAAAAAAAGCAAAGTACAGTCTGTGTACAAGCAAGGAATATATGGGAGGCTGCTGATATGTACTATATAAGCTGGTATTATCATGGATCTTTCTTCCAGGGGTTGCCAATATGAGAAATATGAAAGATATTCACATTCACACATACATACACACACATGTGTGTGAATATACAGAAGAAACTAATCAATAGGCTGTAGGGAAATTACCACTTTTTATCTTTCTGTACTATTTAAATTTTTATTCTGTATAAATATTGGTACCCAAAATAATTAAAACAACTGTACATTCCACATTCAATTACCAGTTAATATTTGTAGAATATTTGCTTAACATATTGTCAATGCTTATACATACATTGTAACTGAGTAAGATATATGCATTTTGAAAACCTGAAAGGCATGTAAAATTTAGTTATGTTAGAATTTGGTTATAGGATTTGATTTCTATCTTCAAAATATCTCCAGCTATGTTACATTTGTTTCATGACAAAAATTTATCAAAAACAATAGTAAGAAAAACTTCACTGAAGTATCTTAATCATACAATTTTTGGGAAAGATCTGGTCCAATCGCTGGAATGTGTATAGTTAATTTTGCAGACTACACATGAATGTATCACTGAACTGTGTTACTCAAGCTAGTTTCTGCATGTGGATCTTTAACAATGAACTTTACTAAAGTAATGGTGGGTAAACAATATTCATTTCCAGCATAAATTCAATGACCTTACCACAGTGATTTCAAAGGACTTAAGACTAAGAACCACCTTTTGTCACATTGACTGGTTTAAGGCACCAGGTAAATATATTGCTCTCTGACTGTACTCCCAATTCTATGCTTCTGGTGAGCTGGGTTGTGTCCCTCAGGGGTAAATGTACTTGACTCCTGACCTTAGTTGAAAGCTCTACCTACTCCTTTCTCTCTGGTCAATCCTTTCAAGACTTAGCTTTTTATTCCCCCATGAACCTCCTCTGCTCCAACCGTTATGCACCAATCTTTACAAACTGACAGCCCTATTCCTTGCACCTTCCTTTGGATACTTCCCTGGGAAGGCACTGCTCTGTTTATTTTAGCCCCTCACTGAGTACCTACCTAATGAATGACTCCATCTATAACATTGTAATAGATATGTTTTGCAGTCAGCTTTGTGCCTTTTAGATAAAATCTATTGCTGCACAAATATTCTTCCCAGAAGTGACAGAGGTTACATGAAAACATGACATGAGTATTAGTTATTATGACTAATGCCAAAAGAGGAGTCAGGGAAATATACAGGAAAAAAAGATAACTTAATTAGTTCAATTACGGAAATAACTCTTGACCTCAGACATCCTCTAATAATGTGGATTGATTTGATAAAGTTATATGTGGTGGTAGCTTATCATAGAGCATAGTCTTTTTTTTTCAAAATCCATTTATTTATTTTTGTGTAGAAGAACTAAGATGTAGACCAGAGGTCTTAATGGTGGAGGGGAATGTGATAGGATTCACCAGAGACAGAGGGTGGAGCAGAACAGGCAGATTGACAGGAATACACTGCTGTGGGGAGCAGCAGGAGTGACAGGAGAGGTTTGCTATGCCATAGGTGGGTTAGCTCCTTGGTCAGGGATAGAACTCAGACCTTACTGATAGCTCTGAGACTTAAGAACTAGGCCACCAGGGAGGCTCATATCCATAAAATTTTCTATCTTGGCAAGTAATCTCCACAATAAAACACTGTTATTAAACGTGAAGCAGTAGGGAAATTACAGTTAACAACAGATCAAGTAAAACAGCAAAAGGCCAATAAGAAAGTTCAGGCACTTTCTTTTTGAAGAAATTCTACATAATCATTAAAAATAGTGAGTGGCATAAGAATATTCCATGAAATGGAAAAATTATCAAACTTCAAAAGCAGGTTACAAATGAGTATATGTACTGTTTTTCTGTTTAAATAATATTTATATATACACATTGCCTTAGTATAAAAATATTAGATTGGAATAAACTATATGTTAATAGTGTTTCTCTGTGGATGAAAACATTATTTTTGCTTTTGTTTTCTATATGTTTTTTCTGTGTTATCTAAATGTTTTGTATTAAGTATTTTTTTTTTCGTGAATAGGGGAAATGTATTTTTCATATTATCACTGATTAAATCCAGGTTTCCTTCCACCTGCCCTCTTCTTTACCTGATTGTCCCTTTCTCCACCCACTTAAAAGTAAGTAGGTTTCTACTGTCCTACAGTACCTACATCTGCCCAACAAGATGTAGGTTCAGACTGGAATGAGCAAACTCCTTGAAAAAAGCTCTTTTTTTTTTTTAAAGATTTATTTACTTATGCATACAGAACTGGGGTACAGGCACGGTGAGATTATTCACCAAAGACAAAGTGGGGAGCAGAACAGGCAGATTGATGAAGTACACTGCTGAGGGGTGCAGCAGGCAAGACAGGAGAGGTCTGTTGCACCATGTGGATCACCCCGCTGGCTGGGGATCAAATTAGTGCTGAAGGTGCGCCAGCCACC